CGACATGCATTCTGGAAACAGCCATTACACTAAGGATCTCCAAGGGCGTAGCACTCCTGTTGCTTAGAGACGGGACGTGTCACAGACTGCAGAAGGAGCACGGAATAGTTCCTTGAAGGGCTGCTATATTCCATCGAGGAAGTATGAATCAGAATTCACAGGACTGTGGAGAGGAGACTGTCCTGTGTTTCCTGCTCATGGGTTTATTTACAGACTGAAAGGCTAATTCATTACTCAAAGAACTGCAGACGGGACAACTGCACAGTAACAGACTATGAAAGCTCGGCCCACACTACTGGAAAGACCCAAGCAGCTTGTGACATCTCTACCTCACCTTCTAAGCTTTTCTAGCTACTAGATGGTAAGATCTTATGCAGGGGGGATGAAACTATTTTTGTTTATTCTTGATGGGCCTTGGTTTTGTAAGTTACTTTGCACCGTGTGATAGGATGGTGGCTCTGAAGTGATCTAGAAAAGTAAAAGGAAGGAAACCTGTAACTATTTGCTCATGGCAGTCTAAACCTGCCTGTTAGCGAGCAGCTACATTTAAGATAGCCCATGAATTAATCTCTCTTCCACAACAGGTTGTAACCAACAACAAGAAATGGTAACAGGCTTGTAAGCAGGGAAATAACAACCGACCCAAAGTGGAATTGCTTGGCTTCCTGCAAAATCATTTGCTGTACCAATGCTGGTTTTAAGCTTTACATGAAAGTATTTCCATAGAGCTATTCCATGGGTGAATTAGAACATGTCACCTCACTGCCTTCCTGTAGCCAGAAAGGTGCAGGTGCAATACACAGACTTCCAAGAGGAAAGACAGTCCTGATGTATGAGTCCTGATGTATTCCATCCCTTCAGTTCCCAGCAACACTGAGCACCCCAGACAGCATGATACCCTTGACACACATTTTCTATTAATTTCTTTATCAGGTCAGCCTCAAACCTCTGGGCTTGTGAAACACTCCTAAAGCTCTAGGGTTAGCACTGGAAGTTCAAAACCTCAATCCAGACCATAGATTTTATCAAGTGTGGATAGAAAGGGTTTTCTAGCCAAGATCCTCTTTAGTGAGACCCGCACCCTGGGCAAAGGCTTGCCAGCAGCTCAGAGGGTAAACCTGGCAGTGGGGTGCACGTTTAGAGAAAATGAGTAGAGAGTTCCTTCTCGCCATCATCATTTCTTAGGTGATAGGGCAACACACATACCTCTCCTCTGCCATCCCTGGAGATGTACTGTAAGCATGAGATTGAACAGGACTAATTAACATTTACAGCAAGGAAGACTCCTGTGATTCTTGAATTTTTAATATTAGTGGTTGCAGAAGTGGGGCCTCTTGCACAGAGCTGAAGAAAATGAGACATGGCTAAGTAAACTCCATTACCTCCAGCTACAGTCCTGTGAAACACTGATAATTAGTTTACAAACATGCAGAGGCAAGAGAGCCATTCATCCCCTTCAAGTTGTCTGGTGCACTAAAATGTTTCTGCAGACCTCTAGTACTAATCCCTATCTTTGGAACTGCAAAACACATTTTTCTAAGTTTGAAATGTGGCTCCAACTTTTAACCCAAATGAAACAGCACTTGGAAAGCTTGACCACTCCCTAGGGACTCATGTTTTCCGACTGGTGCACCTTAGAGGTTCAAAGCAGGATTTAAAAAAGTCTTACTAAAGGAGGCAGTTAAATCTCTTTGAGGTCTGGACGTTATGAGCCAGCAGTGTGTGTTCACAGCCAAGAAGGCCAACTGAATCCTGGGCTGCCACATTCCTCCAAAGGAATGTGGCCAGCAGGTCAAAAGGAGTGATTCTCCTCTACTCTGCTCTCATGAGACCCTACCTGGAATACTGCATGCAGTCCTGGTGCCCTCAACATAAGAAGGACATGGAACTGTTGGAGCAAGTCCAGAGGAGGTCACAAAGCTGATAAGAGGACTGGAGCATCTCCCATATGGAGACAGACTGAGGAAGTTCAGCCTGGAGAAGAGAAGGTTGAGTGGTGACCTCATAGTAGCCTATCAGGATCTGAAGGGCCTACAAGGGAGCCTACAAGGGACTCTTTATTAGAAGCTGCAGTGATAGGACAGGAGGTAATGGGTTCAAATTGTAGGAGGGGAAATTTAGGCTAGATATTAGGAATAAGTTTTTTCCTGTGAGGGTGGTGAGACACTGGCACAGGTTGCCCAGGGAGGTTGTGGCTGCCCCAGCCCTGGCAGTGTTCAAAGCCAGGCTGAATGAAGCCTTGAGCGACTTGGTCTAGTGAGGAGGTGTCCCTGCCCAGGGCAGGGGGTTGGGACTAGATGATCTCTAAGGACCATTCCAGCCCCTAAAATTCTTTGAGTCTATGATTATCCGCTGTATCATACAAAAAGATCTGTCTTCAGGAAAATGACACTGATCTATTTCTTTGGACCTCTCAAAAATCTGAAAGGTCCAGGTTCAAATTTTGTAACAGGTTGGCAATGGTTATTGACAGAGAAATACCCAACCCAGGCAGGTTAAACTGTAGTTACTCCTGCCACGCCTCCGGCGCTCAACCTTGTACGCCAGGCTCCCTCTAGTGCTTGCAGGCGCACACAGCGCAGAGGGACACTGGCACTGCAAACCAGCATTACCGGCAGCAGCGGCTGAACTGGCCCAATTTTTTTGCCTAGCTGGTATTTTTAAAAGTAAAGAATCTGTTTTGGATCAATGTTTCCCTCTTGTATTTTAAATGAAAAGTAATAAAAAAAATTACTAGGAACTGAACAAAATTCTTTCTGAGAGTTTTAAAGATTCTTTTAAAAAGCATTTTAAAAGAATCTTTAAAATTAATAAGGATGTTTTTAAAAGCATTTTAAAAGAAATTATAATTTTGAAATTAGAAAAAACACCCACCATATTTTTCCTTTAGGTTCCCATTCATTTTTTGAAAAACATACTTGGATGAAAAGCTTTACTTACCAAAGTGCACTGAATGTTTGGGTCAACTCATCCAACACAAAATTCAAACAAAGAAAAAGTTGGCCCCAAAAGTCACCAGGTTCAGGTCAGCTGCAGGACACAGAAAGTCTCTTTGCATCCTGATAACGTATAAGGAAGCTGCCCTATAGATCTTTTTCTGAAGCATGGTAGTCACCCCGTGTGCCCCAGAGATGGACTCAGGGTGTCCTGTACCAGCAGTAGGGCTCTGACATTTCCCATGAAGCTGAACTTTATCTTCACAGAATTGCCAACAAGAATATTGCATTAAATCCTTAAAATGAGTGAGCTGTGATTAGAAGTCCCTGCTGTTTTGATCTCCAGAACTTCCTACTCACTCCTGGGCAAATTATTTATGCTAACATCAACAAAGGTACAAAGAGTACTTAATCTACACTGTAAATCCTTTGCTTCAGTTACCAGACTACACTATGGAAAGAATAGCATTGATATTGCCCCTTGGGGACTGCAAGGTTAAATACAGCAAAGAGTTAGAAGCCTTCAGATATAATGGCAGTATGGCCCTGTAAATACTAGTGAGGCACAGAAACATGGGAGTGACACACAGAAAGACTTAACTGTGTTTAAATATTATTATATAAAATAACAAAGATTCTATTTTGAAACACCCTTAGGGCAAGACTGACTTCACTGTGCTGCTTCCAGTATTTTCTGAAGCATCTGCCTCATTACAGAGCTCTTGGGAGGGTGGGTGGTAGCTGGGAGAGATCCTTCTTGCTTTTGTGTTATTTTGGGCTATAGAATGTAATTGAAAAGGAGCTGAAATGCCTTAGCTGTAGCCTGAGCTTCCCCTTCATGTATTCGCACATGATTAATGAGTAGCCAAAAAGCCTGAAGGGTTTGTAATGAAGCCTTTCTAATAGGGAAATGTATTGTAGACAAATCCATATTTTGTCCCAAACAATCATTCATCAAAGCTGCGATTTGACTCTTCATAATTAAATGCCAGAGCACCCAGACCATCCTGAGATTAGCCAGCTGTAACCCATGCTCCTCTCTGAACTCTGGCTGAGAGGGACATTGTCATCCATCTCCAGGGAATCAGCCTATTTCCTTTGTCACTAGCCATAATTAGCAGCTGTATTTGATGACCTTTGATTAGAGAGTGAGTTCACCAGACCTGAGACTAACTGGACTACTACTCATACAGCCTCAATTCAACAAAGCACATAACACATGCTGAGCATCAGTATGAGTCAAAAGTCTGACTAGAACACCTACATGCATTTTTCTGAGGGCAGGGCACCTTTGCAGTGGGAGACCATCTATCCCACAGCATGATGAAAACACAAGGTCAGAGGACCCAGAGGAGACACTTAGCAAGGCCCCTGGTTTAACGTCATTAAGCAGCACTGCCACCAATCCCTGTTGCAGTCAGCCCTGCAGGTGATGAATTGCCAACAACCCTGGCAAATCTGGGAGTTAAAACAGGACTCTTAATAATTTGCTTTAAACATTTAATCTTTCAATAGCATCCAAAGCCCAAATCCCAGGTCCATTAAACAGGACTTTAAACCAATTTGCTATCAGATGCCAGGCCTGTAAAGAAGGCAACCTGTTGATCTGGTAGAATAAGATAATTTTGGATAACTTCTTTAATGTAGTCCCTAAGGATTGGATTGAGACCCACAATACATTTTGCTCCAGTCCTCAAATGTGATGGATAATATGTTTCATTACATGCTGAGCTCAAATCAGTATCTAGGGATGAAAGACAGCAAATGTCTCCCACTTACAATTTCACTCTGTAATGCAATAGAGGTGTTACATTTGAATAAAATAATACTGCAAATTATTAGAATTTCACCTACTCAAAATACTTTCAGGAAGAACTTTCAGAGTCACAGATTCAGGGTTGAGAAGTCCTGACCTTATAAAAAAAAAAAAAGACTTCTGAAGAGTCTAGCAATCACATTAATTTATAACTGTGTGATTAAGAGCCATGGCTTTCAAAAGCTTTACTGGAGTTCCCACACTTTATCCACAGAGTTTGTTGTGTCTGTCTGTCTCTCAGCAGGGAGATGGCCAAGGGGAAAGCAAAAGGCCCAAAAGGGAAAAGGATCACCTTGAAAATGGCCAAAAATGCAATCCGGATAACTTTTGATGGAAAGCGCCGTCTTGACTTAAGCAAAATGGGCATCACCACCTTCCCCAAGTGCATTCTGGAACTGGATTTTGTGGAGGAAATTGATTTGAGCAGAAACATGTTAAAAAACATTCCAAGCACCATTGAGAAGTTCCAGAATCTGCGATGGCTGGACCTGCACAGTAATCAGCTTGAGGAGCTGCCCAAGACAATAGGCACACTTCAGAAGCTTTCATACCTGAATATATGCAACAACAAGTTGACCACAGAAGATCTGCCAGAAGAGCTGAACCATCTCAAGAACCTGCATGTTCTCAACCTTGGCATGAACTACCTCGACAGTGTTTCCACCGGTCTTGAAGACCTCCAGGAACTTACGGAGTTAGGTCTCTTTGACAATGCCTTGACCACCATCCCAGACTTTGTGAAAAACCTCCCCAAACTCGAGAAGCTGAATGTAAGAGGAAATCCTTTAGCAGATGCAACAGAGGAAGAAGAGCATGTTGAGCCCATTAAACGTATAGAAACACTTTATCTAGTACAAGAAAAAGACCTGTGCTCTTCCTGCCTGAAGATGTGTCAGGATGAGAGGGACAAGCTCAACAAGATAATAGACGTGACACCTACCCTCTCAAAAAAGCCAAGTTTCCCTTCACTCCTTACGCCAAATTCCACTGCAAAGGATAATCAAGAAGAATGGAGAGTAAGAAGCAATCTTGAAGTAGACCAAGACACTCCACAGACCATGACATCCGACTCAAGCTAATAAAAAGCTGACCTCCCTCCTCCTGTTATCCTGCAGTTCTCCATTAAAGATCTACTCAGATTTAGAACCAGATCTTTGTGGTATCTAAAACACAATTCAAAACAATCAAGAGAGATGTATATTTGGGATGGACCATTTCCATCTGGGCCTGTTCCTACAACACATTTTCCATGTTTGTGGGGTTCTTTTGGTGTATTTTCGGTGTATTTTGTGTGTGCATGTGTTCAGTGATGTTTCACTGAGCCTCAAACATTAGTTCTGTACATTTTCATAGGGTTTCACAGTTAAACTAGTCTCAGTAAATACCATTTGGAGGAAAAGGCACAGACCTGGTAACCTTCTGCCGCTGATGGCTGCCACCAAGCTCTCAGAGAGTTACAGATAGGCACTGTCAGTGCTGTAGGAACTGTGAGGCTGTTCCAATTCAGCAGAGGCAGCAGACACAAACGTTATGTTCAGGAGTAACTAAGCAGTGCAAACACAATGCTTAAGATAGACAACCAGTGATCCTGTTTGCCATGAAGGGCCCAGACTCTGCATAAGCCAGTCCCTTGGGATTTTAGGTGCTATACCTAGGTGCAGTGATCTCCAAGCTGCACAACACAATCAGCACCACTGCACATACTAATTGTTCACCTCTGAGTCTCCCTCCAAGGAAAGTGCAGAAGGGAGAAGAGGTAGGGAAAAGATTTCTCTTTTTGAGGGCCCCATGTTTATCACTTAAGCAGTGACTAAGAGAAGAAGAATCACCTCTTCCATGATCCAAGAGTCAGATGTGAATTGATGAAGTCAGGACTGGTATCCCCACAGCACTTTAACCTTTCTGTTTGTGTGTACACACTCATGTCTACACCTGAGCACACACATTCACTTGCCCAGATCACATCCCTGGGGCACACAGTGCTGACAGCCTGCAAGCAGCAATATACAGGTCAAGCAATGAGCAGATTATAAAGGCAGTCAGGCGTGACACGAGAAGAAGCACTGGCAGTGACCATAATAACTGGTGGGGATGGCAAACATTGAAGTATATTTAAATGAAGAATAAAGTGCCAGGAGAAAATTACTCAGTTGTACAGTAACAGTACATTATCATCTTTTAAACAACTACAGTAAAGCCTAGGAGTCAGAACTCTTGTGTATTTCCTAGGGACTAGGAGGAAAAAACAATATGGGGTTGCCCAGAAATGTTATTAGCTCAATGTCATATGATGCATCAAACTAGTAATTTCTTCTTTCCATGTTTCAATTGTGCAATTATTAATAGTGTGTCTGGCCTGCCTCCCTGTCTCAGGTAGGGTAGGAAAGACTGGGATGCTATGGAAGGTGTCCATTGCCCCCTAGCTGGGAAAGGAGCCCCATGTGCTGCTTTTGAAATTTTGTAACTCAGAAGCAGCTCTAGAATTCAAGTACAGGAAAAGTAAATTCATCAAGTTCTGACTGAAGCTTGGTAAAAGGAATCACACCCACTGAGGTAATTTTCTCTAACTTTCCACCTAAGCTCAGCTTTTCTGTGGTCATTACTTAGGCAGTGGCACTATCTTATGTTTATTTTATTTCAGCTCATGCTCTAACATGGCCAGCCAGAGCTATGCCAAAGGCCCCTTACACTCTGAGAGTGGATAAGGTGCATAGGGTCTTCTCTCGGCCTACCTCAGACTCTAAGACTAAACATGAGTGTTTCTCAGGAAAACCACAAGGCCAGCTAATGCCCAAAATGCCATCTCGTTTCAAGACATTCACACCTGTTCAGCAGCCAACAAGCATAGAGAAAGAAAACGCTAGGTTGAGGTTTTCTCCTACTAGGAGAAAACTAGGTAAATCTGAGGGATGAGCTGGAAACTCCACTATACAGCTAATATAACATGCCAAAACATTCATGTGTACATCTATCACTGTCTGCCCTAACCATGCGATGCAGAGGTCATTATGCAGAAGCATTATGGATTAGCTCTAACCTCACCTCACTGATTGTCTCTTCCCACAGTAACCATCTATGTAGAGTTTACCAATAAAGTGATATTAAGGAGGTAGTAATTATTAATCAACTGTTCATGGTCAGCTACTCAACACTATCTTCATGTCTTCATACTGTGGATGATGTATGCTAGAATGCTTTTTGGAGCTCTGGGAACACCTTTGAATCTTTAAAATAGCAGACACAAATAGGTAAGTTTCTATATGCTTTTCTTTAACATGTAACTTATTCACACAATTGCACTTCTTTACATTTATCCAATGTTTCCTATGTTTTACCTTATATTCAGGGACTCTTCAGTTATCCCCTTTGACTTCAAAGCAGGTTGGAAAGAGCAAAATCTATAGGAGATATGAAAGGGCACATTATAGTTATGCAAATGATTATTAGTATATATTTCATATGTATATAACCTATATCAGATCCTCATAACAACTTCATCCTGAAGGATGCCACAGCATTTCACTGAGACTCTAACCTAGGACAAAGCTGCAAGACAACACAGCAAAATCATTCATCTAATATTATGGAGATGCCTACGGGCTGGATAAAAGCAGTTTCATTCCCAAACAGGCCTTTGAACTTATATATAGTGCTATGGACTTAGGATCAGGTTGTTTAAGGTGCTATTAAAGCCAGAGAATAAGAACCCACTCAGGCACTTATTTAGCAGAAATAGCAGAAAGGAATAGCAACCCACATCTCAGCCATTCCTGTTTATGCTCGCTGGGGGTGTACGACGCCAGACAAACCATATCCTTGAAATACATAGGTTTGGTGACATTCAGCTGAGGATCAAACCATTGCCCTGAACTGCCTTTGAAAGATTTCCCCAAGGGATACTTGTCCGAGCTCAAAGACAGCTAAGATAAGGGCTAAACAAAGCAGCTGACTGGGGCAGATCCTGATGATTCTAAGTAGCCATAGTATGCTGCCAGTTTGGAAAGGAAGGATAGATAAACATGCATTGACTTTTTTGTGCAATACTCCTATAGAAACTATTCAGAGATTTCAGGAGAAGAAGGAATTGCTATGACTGTTTAGAAATTCACAGTACCAATTCTCAGTCCAGGCTGCAGGATTTGCCATAGGAAGTACTAGTATTGAAGTGCTTTTCCTGTATAAAGGAGAGTGAATGTAACTCTGATATAACAGCCAGAACTGCATTAGGAAGAAACATACAAGAAAACAAAGGGCATTTCAAGTTCCATTAAACAAGGCAAGCACATAAGGACAAACCTTTTTTTTTAAAAAAATGGCATTATTAAAAGTTAACTCCGCTCCAAAGATAAATTCAGAGTAAGAGAGACAAAAATATTTTATGCCTAAAGAATCTCATGACACTTTGTGTGTTGCAAGAAAGCAGGAAGAAACCTTCTTTCATGCAGTACTGTGAAGTGAGGTGGAGGTGGCTCTCATCTCAGTGGGAGGAAAGAGCACAGCTACAATTGCAATTTCCTAGGATGCAGGGATACACACCACACCACTGGGTGCTAGAAAAGCCCTACAGATGCATTAGTTCACTTGATAAATCAATGGCTGTATAATGCTCCAGGTCAGCAGAAGCAAAATTTCATAGCTTTGCCTAAGTGTAACCCATTAAAGCCCAAGAAGCTGCAATTGAAAATAAAGTTCCTGCAGCAAAACAACACAGACACCTGAAGCCAAGATAAAAAGGGGTGGTAGACCAGAAGTATTCACATGTTATTATGAAGTAGTTATTACCTCTTAAATATCTTGTTTCGGTCACAGTCATGGAAGACAAGAAATCTGGAGTAACCATTTTTGAAGAATATTTCCAAGGCAATCTCCTGGAAAGGTAAATCATTTACAGTGTGAACAGCTGCAGAGCAAAGGGTCCACCATGGCCTGTCCAATTCTTCAGGGCTTTAAAACAGAAAACCTTAACTTTTTTCCAAGTGTGAAGAAGTAAAGCAAAATAATCTCTAATATTCTAAATTTCTCCAACTGTAGGAATGGTCCTACTGAGTGACTAGGAGTTCAAATGCTTCTTTGAAGATAAACTGTACTCTAGATATTGGTTCAATCACTCACCTTCCCCTGCTGCTTCTGAAACATTTGAATCTTGAAATCTTGATGTGATTAGTAAGACCATAATAGCATTAATTTCCAATTAGGTGATAAAGATTACACAAAGAGGGGATTCTAAGTAAGAGTTTCTTTTAGAAAGCAACCATACTCCTTTCTAAATTAATAGTGAGCTCAACAGAACTGCCAAAATAGTTTCTCCTGACTAGAAGCAGCATCTCCACTTTTTGATTTTGGTCACACCAAACATTCCTATCTTGCATGTTAAAAAAATTCCATGCATGCACAGACATGTGAATATAGGAGTAGTTGGCAAGCTTCCACTGGCAACTTTGATGCTATCCACAGAACAGAAGAGGTGACAGTTCTGTTGCTCAGGTTGCTCACCAGTGATGTAAGAAAATAAGCTTCATGCAGTTACTCAGAACAAGACTTAACATTCTTATACGTGCTTGAAGAGTGACCTAGCACTAAGATATGCTGTATCTGAATCAAGTCTCACCTACTAAAATTGTCCATTTTGCATACATAATATAAAATAAAGCAGGGCTGACTCATGGATGAATACCATACTACACGATATAAGATCATTATCAGCCTTATCATTATAATTTTCTTTAGCGTCTGAATTTTCCAAGTGATTTCTTAATTCTATGCTGAATCTCAACCTTCCAAAAATGGATTTGAAGTAACAAGCAACTAGTTATGTCTGCTTCAGAATTCCATATTTTTGTCAAATGAAATCTTTGAATTACTCTTTAGATTATACCAAAATCCTCTAAAGCAAGTACAGGTGCTGCAAGAAGCTCTAGCTACAACTCTTCTGTGATTCTCATCATGGGCTGGCCTAAATGAGACAAAACTAAAAGGGCACCAGGACAGTGGTGATAAGTAGTTGCTGGGGAGTGCAGCTAAGGGCACAGAAGACTCAAATCCTCTGTTCTGGCTTATGATTCTTTTATTGAACCACATGCACAACTTGGAAGTTGTTCCAAGAGGCCTAGGGTAAGTGTATTACACATACCCATAATCCACTGATGTCATAATTACTGAAGTCTGTGGGAGTTGAGCATTGCTAAAAGTCAGCCACTTACTGGGAGCTTCCATCAAAATACAGGAAATTGACTTCAAGTCTAATTTTCAAAAACATTGAGATAAAGTGTGAACAACTAATAAGCCAACCACTCCAGTGTGGGTGCTTAAACACTCTGGTGAATATAGAAAGGAGTTTATATTACCAAAGGCTAATGAAGCAATGACGGGCGCAAAAGCATTTGGGGACTCAAGCTAAGAAATCTCAGCAGTCTTTGTGAAAATTGAGCAAGTAGTTTTCAGTCACATGTCATTACTGCTGTTGCAGCTTTCCCTCAAAGGACAGAGCATGTTAGTTCCTACCTGCAGAAGAAAGCGCATCAGATGAATCTCTTTTATATCATTATACGAATAACGGGAACACATCTGGTCTCCCACAGCATGATCTTTATGACATAAGTTGAAAATAAACGGATCACTGATGCTGGAAGAGAAAAATAAAATTTAAAAAAAGAGAAAAATTAATTTGAAGCCAAAAAGACCTGGAGGGATCTCATGAACATCCAAGTCCTCCCTATAGAAGAATAAAAATACTAAGAGATAGCAAGATCAACTGGGGCATACATGAACTGAAAACAAAGTTAAATACTAAAGGCAGATTTTGTACTAGTTCCTCAAATAAAACACAGAGCCTACGGAAGCTAAGGGTAGGCTTGGAGTTATTTTAGTGCCTGCAAATAGGCAGACAGCAAGGTTTTGCACACACTGAATTCTGAGAATCAGCAAGGGAAGTAACTGGGTAGGAGAACCTGAAAGTCCAGGTCAAGGACAAGCATCAATATGGACACAGAGCACTTACTTGGAGCGAATAATTAAGCAATTCATTCATTATTATTTCAGTTGTGTATATATATTGGAATTGCTATCTACATCCTACCCCACAGAAAATCCCTTAGAAAAACAACCTTAGCTTTTATCAGACCCAGTCCAATCGATTCTTAAGTCACCCGATCAGATTGACTGATACTGGACTCACTAAGATTCGGATGCAGAGCAGACAGGGAGTAAAAACAGCGTTACTCACTGTCCCACTGGGCTTTGCACATGAGCACACAGTATGCGCAAAGAGCTTAGTCTAACAGACTCGTATTCTGTATTGATCACTTTCGATAAATCATGAGTCAAAGATGATAGCAGTGTGCCAAATACTAATTACAATTCCATCTTGGAGAAACAAACAAAAAACTTATGAGACAATGAAGCTAAAGGCTCTTGTACTGACTGTTCCATATGAATAAAAGATGTGAGCCAATCAGAAAGAACATTAACAACACTAAAATAATTGAAAATCAACAATTGTATGTGTTAGACTGTTCACCATCTCCATCTGTTGAAGATGGGAGTTTTCATTGCACTTCCAAAGCCTGTGAACAAGCACGTATGATAGTTATGTTCAACAGTTCTTTGAACAAATGGAAAGGATGGCAAACTTCTTGCTATTATGCCTCTTGAAATCCCCTCAAAGTCTGTACAAATTCAAGGTATCCGTGTGCCAATACTGAAGTTAACCAAGCAGATCTCTGGAAGGAAAGAATGACTCACCTGGACAAGCAGTGACGTGTACAGTAGACTTCTTCTAGAGGGGATAACACAAAGCACTCGCAGATGTAGAAGTGCTCTTTGCCAAAGAGCAGCACTCCTTCCAATGCTGTGTGCCCCTGCACAACTGTCACAGAGCACTTGAATGTGACCTAGTATGGATGCAACATAGTGAAGCCAGGAGTTAGTAACACAGGAGACAGGGACCGAAGGGAGTTAGACCCAGTGATGCAGAAGGACATATGTTTGTACCAAAAAAGCTGTCACCGTGATTGGCAGGTCAATAGGGATGAAGCCACAAAATCACCATATGACTGACATGATCCTTCCATAGTACTAGTAGTGGGAGGGTCTGATGCCCTTTTTCCACAGTTTTCCTGTTACTTACCCATCTATCTGTATCTATATTTAGCAAAACCACTACAGAACATGAAGAACTTACAATGTTACAGGAGTTAGCACAGCAAAACTTTCTTAGAGAGCAATACTCAGTACACAGGCTGGGGGTTGAAGGACTGAGGAAAGAAGTGACTTACACAGCATCATGCAGAAGAACAGTGACATATGATAAATATATGTATATTTAGAATACACTTGCATTTAGATCCCAGTGAAATCTATACTTGAAAAAAATCCTGCAAATGGATCCCAGGGAGCAATGAGCAAGGGAAGGATCTAATACTCTAGGTGTCTATCTCACCACGGCCAGATGAATAAGCATACAATGGATTGAAACCCTCAGTAACATCAAACTCCTTGCATTGGAACACTTCCTTCTTATATTATATGGTAGGCCAATCAAAATATCTGAACCTATTAATCTAGTTATCTACAGATTTAGATAAACATTCTAGAAGACTTCAAAAAAACCTCACATGGCATCCTAAGACTCACTTTCTTGTTACCCCTGAGCAAAATATTTTGCAAGCTGAGTCCATCTGAATCTGCAAGGACCAGAGAGCTGCATACAGAGGGATTAGAGAGGTATTAGATAAGTTTCCTGGTTCAGAAATCTAATACAATGTTTTTGAGAGAATACATTAACAAGTATGAGAAGTATCACAAAGTCTGTTTTTCTCTTAAGATCTCGGTGATCTTATCTCTACTAACCTTTGTAAGAAGAAGGGTGCTATTATTTTTGTGCATGCAAAAATGACCCAAAAAGGGCATTGCTTTTACTTGATCGTGTAAAGTCTACATGATGATATGTAGAGTTAAGTCTGGTTCTCCTTTGCTCTTTGTTCCTAAGCTCACTATATCCGGAATCAAATCTACATCCCTCCTTGCCTCCATCCCAAAATACACAGAGGCTAGTTGAGGACAGCTGAAACAGACCTGCACTGCTACACAAGCTTTCAGTCTTGGATACTAGCATAACATAAACAATAAATTCATAAATAAATGAAAAAAACAGCCCATGATTTCTGTGGGTAATTTTGATGAAAATCTCTTCAATCTCTTTCCCCTCTAAATGATTTCTGAGAGGAAGGAAGCATTTTTTCATCATGTCTCCTGCAGATCCTACGGGAACACCTGTCTCTGTGGGGATATGCCAACCACAGAACTCTCTGAACTGGAGTGTATGCCATTATGTGGTTAGAGATGTGTGCTTGAGAATATTGGGGAATTCTGCTCACATTAGCAAACCACAGGGTTTCCTGAAGTAATTAAATAGCAAAAAGTTTGTTTCTTCCCAAAAGGAAGGTAACTGAATATTAAAAGATCGGGCAGTTGCATAAAATAGCTGCCTGGATACAGAGTTGAAATCCAGACTTCTAAGAAATCCACTTCCTCAAACCCAACCCATATGCCAGAGATATGTGTGTGGTTTTAGGAGGCAAGTGGATCAGCAAGGAGGCCTGCTAATGGTCACTAATATGGTCTGACACAAATAACCACTCTTTGTTACTCCTCCTAAGGCAGGACCAGGGCATGTTAGAAGACTTTGAGAGGGGAAAGAGCATATACATCTTTCTCAAACCTTAAACTAAGCCCCAGTATGTTCTGTATTCTGTACTATCCAACCAGTAACAGTTGCAGGTGTCAATTCCATTTCTTCAGTTTTATATGATTTCTTCAAATTGATATTATTATTAAATAGATCTGCACTGTTAGAAATGCTAGTAACTGAGTAAAGTGTTTTCATTTGGAGAACATGACGAATTTTATTGCAGGTGAGTAACAAAGATCTGACAAAGAGTTGTACTAGAGAATCTCCACTAGGACTGTCTCGTACCTACAAGTCTTGAACATTCAGTCTTATATTAAAACATCAAACAGCTTGAAATTATAATATATTAAATAAAAACTTCAATTTTCTGTCAAAATGGATCAGAATCCAGTTCACAAGCTACTAGAATCATTAATCAATGAAGCAAACATGACATAAAATAATTGAATAATTGCCTTCTAAGGTATGGCCCAAAGCCCTGCATCTCTTGATTGCTCTGTTCACTCAGATGTACAAGGGAATTTAGCTAGAGGCATAGGGGTTTTTTGTTTGTTTTGGTTTTTTCTTGCTTTTTTCTTGCTTTATTTTTTTTTCAAAAGAGTTGTTCCTAAATGTTCCAGCTGCATTTAAGCAAATAGCCATAAAAGCATATCTGCTCTGGAATTAAAGAGTCAGATTTCCAAAGGAATTACAAGCTTGAAGATGCAAATATTTTTAAAATACTGGAGTATGTTAGCTATATATCCCTGCAATCTCTAGCAGTGTTATAGCATGGTCCCTCCAGGGAAAAATAAAATGCAAGGAAATTAAAGTCACAAAACCATATCTCTGGAACAAACTTACCCATGTAACAGTCTTTTGAGCATAGCATTTTTACAGAATAAGTACTAAAGAACAGCCACTCCAAGTCAGTTCAGAGGTCCATCCAAACAACTATCCTGTGTCTCAGTAACAGAAGCTTTTGGAAAGAGTATAAAAATGTGCTTGGCATGAAGTGATTCTTGATCTTCATACACCTTCTCAGCAATCAGTGGCTTAAGGACTTCCTGAAGCCCCTTCCTCCTGCTCTTTTCACATCTCATGTTTCCCTATAAATATTCATAGCTGTCTCTAATCACTTGCTCAGCAAAAGCTACAAAAACTTTGCAGGTTGCACATTAAAGCAACACATTCAGGTAGTGCTGTATCAGGGGTCATAGAGATGAAACCTGTATGTAAATACTCTTTTTGCCCCTTCTGCTGTGTATAAGGAGGAATCATAGGGTATATCAGTTACAAAGGACCTGTCAGTAAAGTAGGATCAATGTTATTTAGGGCCACAGAGTTTAAAATTACTAGGAGAACATGAAATCAAATACGTTGCTTTCACAATTTTTGCTAGGGAAACAGATATGTGTTACCATGGGAAGTGAGAGCAATACAGGTTCACCTCTCAGTGCCACTCACCAGACCTTCCCTGCAATGATTGTTAGTTTGCTTGTTGTTGAAGTCTCATCTTACTCTGAAACCATCACACACGCGTCTCATTAATCATAGCTTAAGAATACATGACAGGTTGCTTCATTCTCTCCAGCTGCTCAATGACCAAAGGAAACTAAATCTGCTTGACCTAGTCTTTAGTGGTAGGGACTCTAGGCTCAAGTTTGGTCACATCTGAACTGTTACAAAACATTGGATCAAATTTCTTCTGCTCAGACTCAAGTGAAACCACTGCAATCACTAGAAAGCAAGTCTTGTTGTCACAACTTTGCTTTAGAAGATCCAGGGCACATCACGTTTTTGCAAATAGCCACCACTCACCCTCCCTCCTTCACTCCACTGGAGCAAAAACTGCATGTGGGAAGTGTTTCTTCTGTGTGCACTTCTCAGGTTCTAACAAATTCCCAAATGCTGCAAAGAAAGAATATCAGATGCCTGGGGAAAGGGGAGGGTGGCAGAAGAAGGTTCTTATCCTGTACATGACTGTGGGCACTTGGGCTGCTCTTTGTCCTTGCTCTCTGTGATGAAAGCTTGCCATCTGTCCCAGCCCATCACTAGACTGAGGCTGGAATCCCTTAGCTGCTGATAGCATCTGGAAGACAGTTCTAAAAGGATTGTGTTCATACCTCTTGTACACCCAAGACATCTCTGTCTCATTCCAGGCTCCTTTCAAACAGAAAATGCTGCCAAAAACTAATGTGAGCCCTTAAATTTCCCCTTAGCTCAGTTCATTCAAGTTCATGCCCATCTTGCTGCTTCAGGAATAATCACAGCAGTCTGCCTGCTCCTTTACCTGCTGCATCATTCTGCAGAAAGCAACTGTTCAGGAATCAGCTGTGCCTGCTTGAGGGCCCTGGAGCTTGTCAGGAGCTCTGCAGGGATCCAAGGAGCAGCTACAGCCTTACAATTCAAAGATGTTTTTCATCAAGTTGAACACTAAATAAACCAAACCCAGAAGCAGATATGAAGGGAGAATACTAGGAGGTATCCATGGAACACCAAACCGTATGGTGAAGGAGCACATCCAGAAGAGCAGAGATCTGGCTAAAGATATTCTGCATTTGTTTGGTGACACTCACAGCATGAGTCAAACCCTGTCTTTTGCACATAGCTGCAAAGTTGTTCACTGAGCTGGGGTAGGGGTGGCAGAGCATGGGCTAGGGAAGGGGCTCCCAGCAGCCTCTCCACTGCAGCAGAAACCCAGGTAGGGCAAGTCAGACAAGTAATGACTGACAACACCTTGTCCTTCTTCAGATGCTCCCATCTGAACACAGAAGGAGTTTCACACTGAAACCCCTTATTACTGCTTAGCACCCCTTGCAGCCATTACAATCTCTGCTCCTGCAGGAGGGAAGGAAGAGGAGAGGCTAAGGCACAGAAAAGGCAAGTGCCAAGAACCTAGCTACCCAGACCTCTGCTTTGACCACAACAGCTAGTCCCTGTTCACACTGCACATCAGCCCATGTAAAGTTCTTTACTACTGCATCCTCACACTGGGATGAAGTGTAACAGTGCTCCCATGAAAAGAGCTTGCCTTGATGTTTTATGTTTCACTTTCTACAGCTTCCTGAGGAGAGGAAGTGGAGAAGGAGGTGCTGCTCTCTTCTCTGTGGTATCCAGTGATGGGATGCATGGAATGGTTCAAAGCTGCTCCAGGGTAAGTTTAGACTGCACACGAAGCATTCCTTTACCAAGAGGGTGGTAAAACACTGCAACGGGCTTCCTTGAGAGATGGTCACTGCCCCAACCCCATCAATGTTCAAGAGGCATTTGGACAATGCACCTATAACATGCTTTAACTTCTGGTCAGCCCTGAAGTCAGTTTGGTCAGGGAGTTGGACTTAATCATAATTGTAGGTCCCTTTCTACTGAAATATTCTGTTCATAGCTCGGAGGTATATGCAATGTACCTGAAAGCACTGTCTCCACCAAGTGGATGCAGAGTTGCTGCACTATTCTACCTTTCTTAGATGCTGAAATTTACAGCTATTTCCTCTTTCAATTGAGCCTGTTCTTTAATCAGCTCCTTTCTCCCAGCCATGGATCCCACTCCTCCTGATTTGTGCTAGTCTCTTCTATTACTGCTCTTGTTATTTTCTGTGCTCTCTCCAGCCCCTCCTCAATCAAAGGCATTGTGCCTAGATTTCTTCTAGGCTGTGTCTGCTTGTTAACTTCAGATTCATTACCCCAGCTGCTTGGATTTCTTACAGTCTCAAATGATTTACAGGCACACAGAGATTTATCTATCTTCAAAATTCAGAATTTCTACACCAAAACCATTCCACAAGTCTTCCAACATGGCTTTTTTTTCACCTGTTACATGGTACCCACACATCAGCTGCTTGGCAGAACTACTTTAGGCTTGTAACGATCAGAGAGGCAATCTTGCAGTTGGTTCTCAGGTTGCAGGTACAGGAATCCAATTTCTCTGTCTCTGCTGGTAAGCGCCAGGGTTATTTTAAAGGTTGATGCTATAGCTTTTGGTAGGCAAACTGATAGATTAGGTCAGAACAGGTTCCTATTTGTATTTCTCTTGCAAAAGTCTGCTGCTGCACATGTTGTATAACATTGCCCACATCATATATAACATCTCCTTCCATGACTATGGCATCCGAAGTGTCACTATACCTCTACACACCAAAACCCTGAATGGAGCCTCAACAAAATGTGTAACCAAGCAGCCAGAGTATGAGTTCAGTAACTTCTGAGAGATCAACCCTGACAGCAACACCTATAAATCTGCATCTGCAGTCTGACATACTCACCTAGTAAATTACACACATTAACTTATGTGCAGAAAAAAACATCCACCTTGTGCTTTGGGCATACACACACAGATACTACTTTACACTGCTGTAACTACTGTGTTCTGAACATTCATCAATGAGATTACTCAATTCCCAGCTTTGAGTTCAAAGTCACATTCATCCCAAGCACACCAAAAGCAGTTCTTTTGCTCAGCTTTCACAAGTTGTCCCAGCTAGGGCCATATGTAAGGGTGGTGAAGCAATAAATTATCTCAGCTACCAGCCCACCATCCTTTAGTCTGCAAACTGTCCTCACCTTCCATCCCTTCTGCATTTCTCTGTGGGTAGTTTATGGCATTAAAAAAAAGTGACAAAAAAGAGATATATCTAAAGGCTGAACTTTGCATGGTGTGGGTGCTGTTCAAACACACAGAACATGACTGCTCCCTTATATCTTCACTCTTAGGGACTAACCACTCAGGAACTTCTTTTAACCTATACTTAAACTATATTCATTTGCCTTCTCCTCTATAGTCCCTTTCTTTTGCCATCCAAGTGGCAAATGTATCTTGTT